ACCCTGCTTTATGCTATACCATGGATGAACCTTGAGGACACGATGCTAAGTGAAACAGACCAGTCACACATGAGTCCACTGATGTGAGGGATCTAAAAGGAGTCAGATTAGTGGAATAAAAGTGTGGTTGACAAGGGGGTGGCAGTTACTGATGAAGGGCATGAACTTTCAGTTAGCCAAGGTAAGTACGTTCTAGAGAGCTGCTGTACACCATTGTTGCGATGCTCAACAATAGTGTGTTGCGCATTAAACATGTTGAGAGGGTAGATCTCATGGTAAGTGTTCTTACCTCGAGAGCGTAAAGACTGCTGCAGTTAAATAAAACCACTGCCTGATGTCACATGAGGCTGGCACTTTTCTTACCACCACTTCTGACACCAGCATCTCCCTGTTCTTTCTGCATCTTCTGTGGTATCAAGGTCTGTGAGGAAGACAGCCGTAGGACATAATTTAAGGAGGGCCAGGATAGGAACACAGGAGGCCGAGGTGCGTGAAATCAGCCAGTAAAGAGACAGGAAAGAGGCAGCAGCTGATGATTATTTGGACCTCCTCTCAGCACGTACCATATTTTTTTGCAGGAGTGTGGATATATGGCCAAGGGCAAAGAAGCAGAAGAATGTAGTATAGGATAATGACCATGGCAAATGCTCAGAGCCTCTCGACAGGCACTTTTATGCCGTTATAGCATTTCAGTCTCCAAGAAAAACTATTCACTGCCAAATCAGCCACACTTGGCCATTGCTGAGTTTCACATTCGTTGCCACTCCATGGAAAACCTACTCTGCTATGGAGAGGGTCCGTGTCCAGGAGAGCCGTTTTGGGTTACCCACACCACACGGTGTCCTCTCTGAGGCAGACAGATCTTCCCTCCAGCCAGGCCTGACTCTGGGTTCTTGGAAATGATGTGGAGTGTTAAGTGTCTCTACCACCTCTGATGGAGGGAATGTAAGAAGCGGGGAGTGAGGTCTGCTGGGGACATTGAGACCTCCTGGGTGAGGACACTGGCCAAGTCTCCTGTACCTCAGTGAGGGCTTTATCTCTGCTTCTCAGCCCAGCCAGGGGTCTCAGCAGCCAGTGAGCCAGCCTCTTCTCACATTCCTCCAAGCATTGATCCAGCATCTGCTAGGGGCAGGCTCTGGACACTGATATCCAAAGGCACAGGTCAGACATGGTCATAGACGGGGAGCTGAGAACAGGGTAGGAAGTGTGCACTGCATTGACAGGGAAGTTGTGCCAGGGTCAGGTGAACAGCCGGGAATAGTGCTCAGCCTTACCTTGGTCCAAAGGTCTGGTGTGAGCCAGGATTGGAAAGGTTGGGCCCACTCACAGGATTCCCCTCGAAGGTGCAGTGGTCAAGTTGGGGGCAAACCAGATGACCTACATGGACAACTCAAAGTCAGGACTGAAAGAGAAGGTTCAAGTCTCAAGTCTTTTTTGTGAATGAATAAGCACAATAGTTAAAAGAATGCACACCAAGCCAAGTGTGGTGCAGCACACCTGTAGTAATCAGCACTTGGGAGGCCGAGGCAGGAGGATTACACAGACCAGAAATCTGTGGAGTAGGCTCCAGGTCAGGCTATGCTGCCTTGCTAGTTTCTTCACTTTTGAGGTGAGGATGGCACAAGGCCTGCATAGGAAAGTGGGGTGGGAGGGCATCATAGGCACAGCACTGGGACCCTGGGCAGTGAATGCACCTACACCAAGGAGATGGAGGCGGGGAGGGATCAGTAACCAGGGTGAGAGAGAGGATGCAGGAGCACAGCCACCCTGAGAACTGGGGTTGGGGCACACCCTTGATGTCCCCTTTCACCACTTCTGCTGTGGTCCCCTTGGCCGGTGCCCACTAATGTCCAAGAGTACCAATGTCATTCACCTGTCCACACAGATCAGCCTGCAGAGCACAGGGCAAAGAGCCTCTAAAGGAGCTGATGGAAGATGTATGGAATACTCGTCTTATGGGGTGTGAGAGTGACACGTGCTCATGCAGGACAGCTCTCATTGGGTTCCTGACCACCACACGGGTTGAGATGAGGCTAAACTAGAAAAGCAAACTATGTCCAGCTGTGTGTTTGCATACATGCACCACAGGTAGGTCAGTGGCGAACTAAATAGTGACAGGAAGTCAGGCAGCTGTGATGCACTTCCTGGGAGACAGCTCAGGGTGGCTGGTCCTGTGATGGAGGATGGCTTGGATTGTGAAATTTTGAAGTGACTCTGCACCATAAATTTCCAGGCCTAGTAAACTGGGAATGGTTTTATCATCTCAGAGAACCTGTGATGATACATGATTGTAGATTATATAAAGGGTTTAATATATGAAATATATCACACTTCAGGGCTATTAGTAAAGAACACAGGGATCAGAGGTGCTGATAGGCAGCCTCATGAGAATGACAATCTTACTCTCTTGTGTGAATGTGAATGGCCCCAAACTATCATTGCTCCTTTTGTCCCTACCTACACAAATCTACTCATGAGCCACCCTGGCCAGGGAGCACTCTGTTACGTCGGTACATCAGCTGCATGTTGTACAATCTGCCTTTGCTCTTCTAATTTACAGTGGGACCTTGGTTCACAAACTTAATTCTTTTCATGATTCTGGTCACAAACTGAGTTGGACGGGAACCGAATCAAATTTCCCCACGATGTCAACTTCGAGCTGAGGCGCCACTGTGTCACAATCCTTACTTTTCAATCCTTTTTCTTAATTTTAACTCACTTAGGCACAAGCTAGATCCATTTCCTTTTCTGTGGTCCTTTCTATACCCACATGAACACAGTACTCTTTACAGCTCCCAAAAAAGAGCTAAGATGAAAAAAAAATTGGAATATACAATTAAGAAATTGACACAAGAAGAAGAAATTTTTATTAGAAATTGTTAAAAATTTGCTTCCCTTGGAAAGAACGCCAAACCAGAAAATGAAATGCACTCACTTGTTAATAAACAAAAACCTCATATATCTAAAATTCAGGTTTTTTCCAAGACAAACGAACATTTTGCTCTGTCTGCTTTTCCTAATATGCATTGTTCATTTATGGGAAAAATTTACATATCCTTCACCCGCAGCCCAGGGTTTCCTTGGGCAGTGAGGTATGTGCGTTGGTTGCAGAAGCTTTCAATGTTTTTCCTTTCTCCAAAAGCAGCAAACCTTTAAAAATGAGATTTTCCAGACACTCAGCCCATAACACTGCCTGGTGGGGATAGATGCTTTCAAATATATTGGCCCATAGAATGTCTCAGAACCTTGAAAGATGTCACCTGTGCCCTCCAAAGCCAGCTGGTGCTCTTGCTGCTTGTTGCGGGAGCAGCTGCAGAACAGTGGGACCCAGGCTGTGTTTTAACCTGTGCCTCTTTTCTTCCGTGCTGGCAGCCTGGTCCTCCCAAGCCCCAAGCCTGCCGATGCCCATTAACTTATCCTCGTGGAGCTGGTCTCCAGGCTGCAGCTGTGCATAGAACAGCCACGTGCTGAGTGGGGAGGTGTGGGGGTGACTGACTTACACTGTGACTGCCATTCACTGGTCCCACAAGCCAAGCCTGGGCCACCAGCTTTGCACATGACCTTCCAGGATGGAGCACCGCTGTCCCCGCCTCTGTGGTTCCCTTACAGCTGGGCCTCGCTCCTACCTCTTCTACCAGTGCAGACCCAGCAGGAACCTGCCTCCCTCTTACCCTGTGGGCCTCTAATGTGTTACAGGTATTCTCTTCAGTATCTCAGCCAGTCAGAAAGACACACAGAGAATCACGGAGCCACCATGGCTTGAAGCCAACAAGAACAGAGGAATTTGTAGTCTAGCCATCTGCATTTCAGACCAGAAATTTGGACCAGAAAATGTAAAAATAGCTTCAGAATTGAGAAGAGAGCAAGAATGAGAAGCTATGGTGTTTTAAAATAATAATATAAATAAAATTACTTTAAAATAATATATAAATATATACTACTTTATATATATATTTCAACCAGGACTGCACATGCTAAGCACACATTTTACTGCTGAGCTACATCCCCAGCCCCAGAATCTGCAGTTTTTTTTCTGGTACTGGGGGATTGAACACAGGGTTTTGCACTGAGCTATATCCCTAGCCTGTTTGTATAGTTTATTTTGAGGAATGGTCTCATTAAGTCACTAAATTGCCTAGGTTGGGCTTGAACTTGTGATCCTCCTGCCTCACTCCCAGAGTACTGGGTTATTGTATGTGTCACCATGCCCAGCGAGAACCCACAGTTGCATGGAACAATTGTAGCTGACACATTTAATCAGAATTTTCTATCTGTATTACATTTGTTAGATGACCTTCAACCCCTCCAGATCAATGAATTACGTGCTTCAGTGTCCTCACAGAACCTTTTCAGTAAAACCAACTTTAGAATGGCTCAGTGGACAGGTGGCTGGCACTATGGTACCTTGGTGTCATAACTTGTGCCACCTGTTGTTCATCTGTACAGCACAATAACGGGCAAAACTGAAACTTTCTGACATCCCAGTTGGGTGTGTAAAATGATAACGTTGAGCTCAGGACAACTCCTGGCAACTTGGCACTCCAGATTGTAAAATTTCCTTCTTATGATAATTTCTTAAATAAAATGAAACTGGAGGGCTCCTGAAATGTCTACTAAGCATGTTTTGTTTATGCTTTCTACCAACCCATCTATTGGGGACAGCATTATAGGCAAGATGGAAAAAATTCGTCTGCAAAAGGCTGTCAATGGGCTTCTAGGGTGCGTGGGACTCTGGTTAATACCGTGTAGAGAGTTAAGGTAGACACGTGTATGTGCTGACCTCTGATCATTACTGGAGTTAACCCTTTTTGCTACATACTAAATCATCATTTTACTTCTGTGTCACCTGTGCCATAGAATGTGTGGTCCTTTTGCTGAGCTTATATTTGTAGCACCCCCTGTGTAGTTTTCCATCATTGGTTGACAGTCCTTCCAGGCTGCATGCAGACCCACACCCTGGATGTGCAGACTGTCAGATCTTACCCCATCTTGTCTTCCAGGCTCTGTGGCTACCCTCCTTTTTATGATGAAAACGACTCCAAGCTCTTTGAACAGATCCTGAAGGCAGAATATGAGTTCGACTCCCCCTACTGGGATGATATCTCTGACTCAGGTAGGTCTTCCTGGGGGACCCTGGGCTCAGAATGAACCTCAGGCTGCTATGAAAACCACAATCTGGGTGATTAAGCAACAGACATTTATTTCTTTTTTTTTTTCTTTTCTTTTGGGTTTTTTTTTTGTTTTTTCTGGTACCAGGAATTGAACTCACGACCTTGCACTTGCCAGGCAGGCACTGTGCCCCTGAGCTAAATCCCCAGCCCCGACATTTATTTCTGACAGTTCCGAAGGCCAGAAGTGTAAGCTCAGAGCCCCCAGCACATTTGGTATCTTGGAGGGCCCACCTTCTCATTCTTGGATGGCAGGAGACAGAACAGACTCTCTGGGGTCTCTTTTATGAGGACAGTGATCTCCTTCAAAAGAGCTTTGCCCTCTCACCCTTATCACTTCCTAATGCTGACATCTTGGGAATTACAGTTTCATCATATGAATTGTGGAGGTGCAAACATCAGTCTGTGACTGCTCCTGAGGAAGCTTCGTGAGCTAGACTTGGAGGACAGGCTTGGGATATTTAACCTGGGCCTGGCCAAGGGATGGGAACTTGCTCATCCACGTCTCCTAGCCATACCCCAGTCTGGGTATGGGAGTGAAACGTTATTAGCTAACATTTACCGAGCACCTGCTGTGTGCAGAGTCCTAGAAGCCGATGCATGTGCTACCTCACTCAGTCCTCAGGACAGTCAGATGGGTGTTATTCTTATTTTTGACATATGAGGAAACTGAGTTCGAGTAACTAGACTGGAACTGCCCCGCTGGTGTGTGTCAGAGCTGAGATTTGAACTCCAGTCTCAGTCCTCATAGCCATGATGCCACACCGAGATGTTCCCACATGTATTGTCCTTCCTGAGCAGAGAGAAAGAAACACCAAGGCCCAGGTGAAGGGGCAAAGAGTCTCAGGGCCTCCGCTTCCTCTGTTCCACTTCTTGGGGAGAGTAGTAGCAGGATGAGGTGAAATGATGAGTGGGACCATGCTTCCCAGGCTCTGGTGAGCTGCTGAGAGGCAGCATCTTATTATTTACGTCATTTCCTCCTCCCCAGAAACACCTTGCTGTATCCCTTAGTCCTCCAAAGCCCAGGCCTGAGAAATAGTCTCCGTGGCTTATGGAGAGGAACTCCAGGGAAATATTGTACTTCTGAGCTCAGAAGCGTGTAGCTTTTCCCATAGCAGACCCTGAAATATAACATGTTTTGAGCTAACACAGGGTGTCACCTGTCTGTTCTGTGACCCTGTCCCTCGTGTTCCTGATGTGCTGCCAAGCACTCTCCATTCTCCCCAGGCGGCATCTCACAGCAATGCAGTTTCCAGTCCCTGCCCTCAGTGGTATAGGAGGGTCCATGGAGAGCTAGTTTCATCTCTTTAGTGATACCTGATACTCCCACTGCATCACAAGCCACAAAGTGATTCTTCCCTGTGTGCCTTTTTGAACAGCAAAAGACTTTATCCGGAATCTGATGGAGAAAGACCCAAGTAAAAGATACACCTGTGAGCAGGCAGCTCGGCACCCATGGTAAGAAAAGTTCTCCTGTGAAGACTGTCAGCATGTGCCCCCCAGTACACTTCTGTTAGCTCTTGTCACCTATGAAATCCACCCAGGTGTCAGTTTCATATCCTCCTGGCCAGGGGCTTTTTTCCTTTCCACAGCCAACACCGGGACTGTCTTGTGCCCTAGGACACAGTCTTCTGACTGCATTCATGTGATATTAAGTGTGCAGATTTTCAGTTGGCAGAAAGTTTTTAAGGATCATCTTAATTGAAGGCAATCTTCCAATGAGACATTAAGATTAGAGTTTTATTCCCTGAGTTTGTTACTCAGCAGTTAAATAAAATTATATGTGTTTTCCCTTTTCAGTTGTTTTTTCCAAATAGAGTTTCTCCAACGCTAACTGTATGCTTGGGGCCATCTCAAATTTACGTCACTTACCAAATTAGAACCAAACTTCCCTGGTAACGAGCTGTGACACTGGATTTATACCTTACTTTTCTGAGTCTCAGTGTTTTAATCATTGAATGAGAATGACCATACTTAATTCATAGAATGGATGTAAGAAATAATAATGGTGATGCAGGTAAGGGATTAATACAATGTGTAATGCAGAGCAAACAGTTTTAGTTCTTATTAAAGCCTTATGAACATCCATTTTGAAATAAATGCAGAATAGTAAAGATCCAATGTGTTAGGAACTGTAACAAAATACCTGAGATAATCAACTTTCAAACAGGAGAGGCATATGTAGGCTCATGGTTTCAGAGGTTTCAGTTAATGGGCAACTGGCCCTGTTGAATTAAAACTATGGCAAGGCAGTACATCATGGACAGGGGTTGTGGTGGAGCAACTTACTCATTTTATGGTGGGCAGGAAATGGGAGAAAAGAAACTGATATCTCATGGTCTCATTTGAAGGCACCCAGCACCACCCTGAGGTTCCTTCTCTTAAAGTTTGTATTACCTCCCAATAGCTCCAAGCTGGGGACTAACCTTTAACACATGGGCCCCGGAGGAGGTTAAGATCCAAACTGTAGCACACAACATAATGAAAATAGGATTTGGGGTTATAACTCAGTGGTACAGTGCTTTACATAACATTATAAGGTTCTGGTTTCAATCTCCAGTGCTGTGAGGGAAGGAAAAGAAGGTAGAGAGGGAAGGAAAAATGAGTTCAGGTGAAAGTACCCTTAAGGAGCATTACAGAGCACTGTTTAGCCCACCATTTTCCATAGACTTTCCTTCAGGGTCTCCAGTGCTGTGAGCCTTCCAATGGGACCTGCCCAGAAGGTTATGTCACAGTATTTTAATTCATGGCACCTGCTGTGTGTTGAGTTTGTTTTGTTCCAGCAACTGTGCTGATTGCTTTAAAGTGTTGACTCCTTTTTTTGGAGTGAGGTAGGTTTTACCCTCACTGCAGAGAACTCAGCTAACTTAGCTAACACTATACAACTAGCTAATGGCAAATCCAGGATTCTTGCCAGAACTGCCTTGCTCCACAACAATGCCCTTCTGCACCATGCTTACTGGAAAAGAAAAGGAGGAGAGGAAGGGATTTTCTGAAAAGGTTGTTTGTTTTGGTTGTGTATCATTTTGTGTGTTATTTTTTAGCACGTCACTTTGGAGAGCAGGTCTAAGTATATGATGATAAGATTGTATAAGTTTTCTTAACACCCACAGCCTTTAAACTTGTAAGACTTTCAGTATTTCGAAGGAGGAAAGGACCTCAGGTGCTCTGTCATTGTTACTGTGCACTTCCAGGTTCCCAGGAAGGCAGACTGGAACATGGTAACCACAAACCCATTTGATGCAGACATCACTGTGAGCCACCACTTATCTGCACTGATCACAGGGCAGAGGCGCTGTGGCTTCAGCTGGGAGCTGGCAGACAGTGGAGGAAAGACTCCAGCATAATGTAGGCCAATCAGCACCTCTGCTTGAGAAGCTGTGGCCCTGCACATCCATGACACCAGAGATTCTTCCCACTTCACCCAAGCTACCCAGGGTGAGGAGAGGCCTCAGGAATTGCAGACACCATCCCTTAGCCTGGGGACAGGGCACTCCACACAGGAGCGGCTCTTGTCCTGACACTCCTGTGAAAGACAGTGAGCACTTCTTACCAAATCTTCCTGTCCCTCTCCCTGGGGATGCCTTCCACTTGGTGGTGGCTTTTGAGGAGCCAGCAGGCTGCCAAGTGCTGGCCAGAGAGAAGGGAAGGGCAAGCAGCAGGATGGGAATGTACCTCATCACAGGTGCCCACCCCTGCTTGCTCATTTATCCTGGTCTGATTGACCTATGCACCCTTCTCCAGTTTCATTGATATGCAAACCAAAGTAAAGAAGATGAGCGAGATTATTTTTGAAAAATGAAGTCATTAGCTCAGATGATTGTACTGGAGAAGACCTACTATTGCGGCTGGAGTCTGAAAACAGGCTAGTGGCAGAATTACCTCTTTTTCTTTTTCCCTAAGGCCTTTAATTGACTGGACAAGGCCCACCCCCATAACCCGCATTGCTCCTGTCTACTGATTGAAATGTTAATGGCATCTAAAAAATACTTTCACAGCAACATCCCAACTAGCATTTGGCCATATATCTGTGTGCCGTTTTCTAGCCAAGTTGACATATAAAGTTAACCATCCCACTTCTGAGGGATGCCTGAGACTCCCTCCCCTCTTTAGGACCCCTGCCATGTGAGCTCTGGTTGGCCCTAGGAACCGGGCTGCAGCCCAAGAGTCTGATAAAGCACTTCTGGGATACATGCCAGGCATTACCAAGCCTGCCTTGAACAAGAGGCTAGAAAAACACAGAACCAGAACCATGGAGGTAGAGTAAACCTCATGCAAAACACCAAAGGTAGCTAGCTGAGTGTGTTAGCACACACCTATAATCCCAGAACTCCGGGAAGCTGAGTCAGAAGGATCCCCAGTTTGGGCCCAGCCTGGGCAATATAGCAACTTAGGACGATCCTGTCTCAAAATAAGAAATGAATAAAGGGCTGGGGATATAGCTTTTCATGTAAAGACCCCAGGTTCAATCCTCAGTACTACAAAAACAAAACAAAACAAAATAACCTAAAGCAAGGAGAGAGGTCTTTAATGATCTGTGAATGGAGAGACAGCAAGACAGGCTGCAAAAGGTGTGATTATAGAACTGCCATCTACAGAAAGTAGGGCCTAAACCCAGAAAGGCAGGAAGATGTAAATGCGGTGTATTTACCCATAGATTTCTAAATCTGTTTACAGACTCATAAAGAAAGTTTTCTGTATTGGCAGCATCGGTCAATTCCTGGCAGTCTGGGTGACCAAATGCCATCTGTGGTAAGGCCCCACAGCTCCAATTTTGCTGCTGAACACTGCTCAAGTTAGTACTGGCTGCGCTGCTGCTGGAAACCTCCTGGCCCATTGCAAGCAGCAGCAGCCATTTTCATCATGGCGGCCCACTGGAGGAGGACTGTGTCTTGTCATTGTGGTCCAAGGTGGCTATAACCCTCAGCTTCTGAAGACTACCAGACAAGCAGCCCAAGGGCCACCTGCTGCCCAATGTGACTCTGACCCAGATGTAGCCACCTGGGGACTATGGGAAGGAAGCCAGAAACATTCCTCACATAGCTCAGAGTTGCATTTTCTTTGTATCTGAGCCCACCATAACCCACAGCCAAGGTGTGGGAAGCAGAGTCCAGGCACCGTGCCCGGGCTCAAGGTGCCGGAGACCATACTGCTGACAGGCAGGTGGACCACAAGTCCCAGAATCCCTGACGCTGCCTCCCCAGCCTGTTTGGTTTGGAGCCTGGCCTGCAGTGGTGCTCAGCCTGCGGAATTCCACACTTCCTACCACGTGGCCCACTTGTTTCCAAGAACGAGCTGGCCACTGACACATGGGAACTGGCATCCTTCCCTGACGATGCAGCTTTTAAAAAATAGTACAGGAGAAAGCACTCCCCTGGGCTCTCGAGGAGAAAAAGCTTGATAAAGACATCTACAGTTCCCCTAACCTCCTTGTTTCCCTGATGCGTGTCTGGGGAGACAGGACAATTGGCAGTTGTTAGAAATGGAAACTGGTTTATTTTGGTTACTTCAGAGCATCGTCTCGCCTGTGTTTCCAGCCTTGCTGGGAAGAGAGAGGAGTACCCTGTGGGGGGAGGTTGCCAGTAGCTGGGAAAATAGATTCTCTGTTTAGAATGATAAACACTGTGCCAGTGCGGCACAGCCTCAGTGTCCAGTCCCTTAACCGTGGTTGCAATTCTCAAGTGAAAGAAAGGCCAACTGGGGTGATCTCTTGTCTGAATAACTCCTGAGCTTATTCCTTACATTTCCCAAAGCAATTGAAAGTCATAGTTGCAACGTCTGGCCTAAGTTGTGTCAGGCCAGTTGTGGTATAAGAGGTAAAAGGTTCCCACCCCTATCAGTACTTTCCAGCCAGGAAGTAAGGTCTGTGATTTTGGCACCTGCATCACAATTTTTCCAAGGTTGAATAAATCCTTTGTTAGACACCAGACACCAAGCTAGCATTGAGCAGTTTTGTGTGAAGCAGGAACAGGAAGATAGAAGGAACAAAGGCCAGGAGAGACTGAGAGCAGAACATGGCTCCTTCTTACAGGGCAGGCCAAGCAGTTAGACATAAGGAAAGAGGACGCCATGGTTGACATGGATGCGTGGAGAGAAGGGTGGCCTGCATGTGACCTCTGGAGAATCCTGATATGAGAGTATAAGCACAGAAACAAGGTGGTGGCACAAGATCAAAGGGATGAGACAGCACAGGGAAGAGGAGTAGGGTGAGGGGACTCTTGGGAGAAGTGAGCACACCTGAGTTCTTCCCTGCTCAGGAACAAGCAAAAACTACAATAGAGATGGCCCAAGACCATCAAGGACCAGCTCAATGTAGAGCAGATCCTGATCCTGGAAGCTCTGGGAGCTTTCTTGGAAATGCAGAAGTAGAAGATGCAGGAAGCAGGGCTGAGCTAAGGCTGTGAATCTTCTCACAGGACACAGAGAAGGTGCAAGCACGGAGTGTGTGGCATTGCTGTGCAGAATGTCATCGCAGAACCCAGCTTAGCTGGGATGGAGCAGAGGGAGCAAAACTCCTGGGGTAGGCAAGGAGTAGGGGTCTTGGGTACAAGGAAACCAGAAACTGGTCCTTGAGCAGGTGAGAAGGAAGCGGGAGGGCTCAGAGGTAGAGTACTCAGGCCTCAAATTGGTGCTGAACAGAGGGGACTCAGGGAGGGGCATGAGGAAAATGAATCCAGGTTGCCTTGTCATTGTGGATTCTGGTAGTACAGCATTGGGACAAAAGGAGGAAAATGAGGCAGGTAATGAGCTACACTAGGAGGAGGGCAGATTGAGGGATGGGTGCAGAGTACAGAAGGTGGAATGGGACTGAGAGGTGGTGGGGATACCATGTGTGGAATTAGGGACATCAGTCACCCTCTCACCAGCCTCAGTTTTCCTGAGGACAGGAGGGGGTTCCCTGGGAAGTAGCTCAGGGCCCAGTGGCTGGGCACCAAAGAAGTCTCTTTGCTTTTGTTTCAGGATTGCTGGTGACACTGCCCTCAACAAAAACATCCATGAGTCTGTTAGCGCCCAGATCCGAAAGAACTTTGCAAAAAGCAAATGGAGAGTAAGTCCTGCATTCAATAACTTTCCAGTGACTTTAACCACTCTCCTGAAACTTGCTCTGCTATTTAAGCATGTCTATTTCTAAAGGTTACTGACCCCCGAGAGTGGATGGAAACCCCCAGAATCTCACTAAGGTTGCTCATTTTAATTGCAAATGATTAAGTCATGGAAGGCAAATGAAGTGTGTGATTAAACATTTCTTCTCTGTGACTGAGAGACAGCACTCATGCTCGCTCTTAACTCCTTCGCTATATCTTCATCACCAGATACCCCTGCAACTCTCTTTACTTTGTTGGAACTCTGAATAGTAAGCTTTTAATTACAGTGTTGGTGGAGAGGGGAAATAAATAGAAAATCTATGTTTAAGTCATCAATGTTTTCTGGTAAAAATTCAATAGGTTTAAACACAACATTTCTGTGATCATCTACGGATGTGACCTAAACTCTATGTTTTAGTCAACACAGATAATGAAGAGCGAGCTGTTTTGCCACAAAATCCAGGGGCAAGAGACTGTACAGAAATGAAATTAATTCAGCTGATCTACTTTATTTATCAGAAATGCATGATTTAGGACAAAAGTACCATTTATAGGAATGTAAATACTATTTTAAAACAATTTATGACATTAAACTATTTTAATACCTTGTATTCTAAAGTTCTCTTACATTGTGGAGAGAATGTTTCATATTTGTTCTATATGTTTGTGTTGTCAGAAGAAAACATTTTTGAATCTCCAAAATATGTTTTGATGGGGCGTGGGTTTAAACAAATTCACACACCTTTGGAAGAAGGAGCAGTGTAAGTTGTCCTCCTAAAGTGTCCTGAGAATGTTTGAAGATGTGTACCATGCTTAGGGTAAACAGAGAAATTAAAAGAAGCCATCAGAGTCTTTTCTAACTTGCTGGATATTTTGTCTGCTTAATTTTTTTTTCTTTCTTAAATTTCAGCAAGCATTTAATGCCACAGCCGTGGTGAGGCATATGAGAAGGCTACATCTCGGCAGCAGCCTGGACAGTTCAGGTGCAGGTGTCTCGAGCAGCCTCAGTCTGGCCAAGCAAAAAGATTGTGCGTATGTAGCAAAACCTGAATTCTTGGGCAGGCCTCTGGGATGACACTGGGTGGAGAGAAGGGAGCTCTTCTGGGCCAAGCACCTACTATGTGCCAGGCACTTCCAGTGCTCTATCTCACTGCATGCTCACAACTACCACAGGACAGTTTTTAATATAATCATTGGATAGTCATATTCCCTAGGTAGCTTCACGTCCATGTAGCCATGAGAAATCTGAAACTCAGATGGCACAGGGCCAGGCATGTCTGGATCTGGTCATCTTCTCCTCCTGAGGACACAGCGCTGTCACTCTATGGGGTGAGGAAGGAGGGTCAAGACTCTGCGCAGTCTGATCCCATGACAGTAATTTGAGCTCTGAGATGAAGAGCATTTGCAGCAGGAACAATAGTCATGGTATTTTGTGGTCCTGCATCTTTGCATGGACTGGGACTTCCTTAAGGGGACACATGTGCTCTTCTCTTTCTCTGTGCCCTCTCTGTATTTGCCCTGTGCTCAACCTCTGTCCTGCCTGTGGCTCCTCCCTATTCCGGAGCAGTTGCCTGAGTGTCCCTATGTGCCTCCTCTCTCTGGCACTGAGCTGCCCTTTAGCTTGGCCCACTGTGGGCATCGCACTCCCGCCCATCTGGCTCAGGAAAGGGCTCCCTTCCTCTCTCAATGGTTATCCTGGCTCATTCAGGACTGACTGGTGTTTACATTTCCAAGGTGTTCCCATGCTTGCCTGGCAAAATCATACACCCCTGCTGACCATATTCACATCCCAACTGGTTTCTTCCCGCTCTGGTCAAGGGGAGCCCCACACTGACTCACTCTTCCTTTATCTTTTTCTTTCTTTGTTGTTATTTTTGTTGTTAGAGGAATTAAGCCTAGAGCCTTTGTACTGAGCCCCAACCCCCAGTTTCATATATATATGAGATAGCCTTCCACTAAATTGATAATTTGCCCAGGCAGGGCTTGAACTTATTATCCTCCCATCTCAGCCTCCCAGAGGGCTGGGAGGAGGATCAAGCATGTAGTACCATACCCATACTTCATTGATTTTTTTAGAGTCATACACCAGTGAAACCCATCCTAATAGGTTTCCCTATGTCCCAGTGTGCAGAGCTCTCTGGACACACATGCCATCAGAGCTGAATGTCTGCCACTGTGTCCTACACTGTGGCCTTCTGAGGTGACACTTCTGCCTGGTGAGGCTTTAGTGCTGCCCAAGAAGAATTCTTGTAGTTTGAGGGACTGCTGAGTTCACACAGGAACAGGTAAATGACCTCATTTCAAGGTACCCTGTGTCAGAAAATGCTCCTTGCCAAGAGTACAGATTATGCACCACTCATTCTTAAAATACTTCCTTCGTGGAGCTGTTGCATGAGTAAACAGTTCTTGTAGTGACAGTAGTATTCTGTGCCTAGCCCAGTACCTAGGACATAGGAAGTGCTCAATAAATGACGCCTCCCATATCCCACAGGTTGAAACATGTTTCCAAAGCAGTTATACCGAAGAAAAGAGAAGTGAGTTGTGCCTAAGAACAAAGCATCTGCAACACATTGCAAAGGTTTTCCCGTGGGGAGTATAAATGTAGTCTGGGCTCAGAGGTGTCACTCAGCTAGAGTGTCAGCCTAGTACGCACAAGACCACTGAGTTATATTCCGAGTACCACCAAAACAAATTCAAATACGTAAACCTTGGTCCCCCATAAACCCAGCCCACCTGGCCCCCACGTAGGAAGGGAGAGCAGAGATCTGCTTCTGGCGCTCTGAACCCCACGTATCCCTGTCCCCCTGCAGGCCTGGCACCTTCCACGCTCTGTAGCTTCATTTCCTCTTCGTCGGGGGTCTCAGGAGTTGGAGCTGAACGGAGACCCAGGCCCACTACTGTGACAACAGTGCACACTGGAAGCAAGTGACGGCTCTGGAGGTGGGGCCAGGGGCGGGGCCAGGGAAGGGGAGCCCAGGGCCACCAGGCCGGTGCCTCCAGCGAGACCCCACCCCTACCTGCATGGTGCACCTTTCTGCATAGGACTGGAAGACAAGTTTTTTATGGCCATATTTTATACTGCAATTCTGAAGTGTTCATTTCTCACAAACTGTACTGAACTCAAGGGGAGCTGAATTAATAGGATCTGGTGCTGTAAATATGAATCTTGCAAAGCTCTAACTGAATGGACCTTGTCCCCTCCCCTCATTCTGTCGTTTCCACTCTTCTCAGTGTAGACAGCTGTCTAGGATGTAATTTTTTCATGGAAAAAGAAAATTTCAACTGGATTATTTAAATATTGGTAAATATTGCACATTAGCATTTTTTTCCTTTGAAGAAATATGTCTTTTTGATCTGTATCTCAGTTACATGACCTATATTGTTTGCTCTTCAATAGTAGTTTTATGTTAGCCTTTAAGAGATTTTTTTCCTCCAAGGAGAATTTAAAGGTGTTTTTAAAAACTCTAATAAGAAGATCTAGAATCTGTCTCCCAGGCTAAGAGTGAACTTGACATCTGTTCCTTCCCTTTCCCCTTCCTCGGGAGGGTCAGCTCTGAATGAAGGCGTTCTGGCAGCTCCAGGGGGCTTCTTCTCTCCAGCTCTGGGCGGCTATGCAGGAAACCCTTCCCACGGCAGCATCAGACAGCCCCATGGCAACCACTGCGAAATGAAGAATCCTGCTCCCCTGGGACCCAAGGCTGAACTTCACAGTGAACCATGCTCTCTGAACTTGAGACCCACAAAGCCAGGACTCGAGCGTCCCTTCCCTAAGGGGCAAGCTGCCATCTGTGTAAAGCAACCCTGCACGCAGCCCTCGTTTCTCATGAGGGACAACAAATGAAACTCTGATCTCAGCTATGCAGTTTTAAAATGAATCTCTTTCTGTTTTTTTAAAACGCATTTCTAATCTTATATTTAAAATGGCCTCTAAAACACACACACACACACACACACACACACACACACGCACGCATGTTGTTTCTGCACATTTTTACTACCTTTCTCTGGAGTGATAAGAGGTGACCACCAAGTGAGCAGGACACTGGCCATTGCAGAAATGACCTCAGACAGGCCCCACTGGGGTGCAAAACCACTGTCATGGGGGATCCGAAGCAAAGGACTATGGTCATAGGGTCACCAAATACCCCAGTTTACCCGGCACTCAAGGATTTTCCAGGATGTAGGATGACTTCTAGTGGTAAAACTGGGACTGTCCCAAGAAAATCAGGCCATCACAGGAAAAACCACACAGAGGCTAGGTGTCAGGACAGAGTGAGCGCAGCGTGCAGCCCTGGGCCGACCCTGCAGGCTGGCTGACCCATAGAGCCATGCAGTGGACACCAGTGTTCTTCACACCCGTCCGGCATGTATGGGCTCAGCTCCAGCCTCTTAGCTCCCTCTGCTACTGAGGTCCTTGCTGGTCCAGTGACAGCCCTGGCTGCTGCTCCCATGCCTCTCTCCTGCAGGTGACCAGGTGTGGATGGTCTTCTTGGGCAAGGCTTTGTCACTTCTACACTTTGCCTGTGTTTAACGATGCCTCTCTGGCCCTCTACAACACACACACACACACACACACACACACACACACACACACACACACAGTGTTACCAGGCTCACAGCCCCAGCCCTCCTTACTAAGGACACCAGCAAAGAAGGTGTAAGAGCAGCTGGAAATACAGGCAACTGGTACCTGTCCCCACCTGCCTCACAGGCGGAATCCTTTTTGGCGTCTGTCATATAAGTTTATAGGTTGAGAATTCAAGCTCTCACTCTTTCAGATCTGCAAAAAGCCTGGAAAAGTCTTATGAAATGACAACAGGCCCAGTGAAGAAGCAAGTGTCATCTACATCAGAGACACATCAACCTCTTCCCTTAAGGTAGACGATGACATAAGTATTATAAGCATATTTGAGAAAACTAAGGAGTCCATCTAGGTTTGTGAGTATATTGCTTACCAATTAGTGTCATGGGAACATTCAGGTTCATACAGTATAAGGAAAAAACTAAATAGATGGTTACAAGGGGTAATTATTCACCTGAGTGTGGTACTTCTAGGGTGAACATGAGTCGTTATCAGATCTTTGTGCTGCATGGTATATTCAGCCATTTGCAGTTAGAAACCAGTGTTTAACCCAAGCTCTATTATTGGTGATGAAAATATTGTCTGGAGGTGATATGGGAGTGCACGTTATATGCAGTTCATTTGAAAGTATCTTGTGCCTGAAAAGTGTAGAACGGGAGAGTGCTCCCTGGTGGAGGTGCCCACCATGCCTGCTGGCCTTCAGGATGAAAGAGAAAGGCTTCTTTCCAACTGCGCTGAGTATTATTTATGTCTCATTACAAAATGGGAAAAGAGCACAGAATAGACCTTTCCTTAAGACCTGATAAATGGGCAGGCGGAGTCCTGGGCCACTGGGCTGATGCCAGATTCCACCAGTATTAGCCGAGCACTACCTCCATGCCCCAGTGTGTTTGGCTGAGGCCAAGGACGGCACCCAGGCCCCCTCTCAGGGTTCTTTACCCCTCTCCCCTTGGTCTCTTCGTCTTCTCAGAGTAAGTGAGTTTTTGTGCTCATGGAGGTAATAGAATGGGCTTTCCCTCTGCGGCCTGTCTGGCCTCCCTTGCTCCCTGACCTTCAGTTCCGAAGCGAGGCAGGAAGAGCAGCTAGTATTCATGTGAAGCAACAGCGAGTGGCACCCACACGCAGGCCCGACGGGCCTTGTCACTCCTACCCAGGGACCCTGCGGCTGGCTGCTCCCTTCTCCCCACAGCCCTGCTTTCAGCAGCTACTGGGGTCTGGAGCCTCAGACAGGGGTGGTGGCTAGAGCTGGGAAGTACAGGGCATGCCTAGGTGACAGGCACAAAACTCCAGAGGAAAGAGGAGGTCACTTCCCACAGCGCCTGGCCTCCTTGCAGAATAGAGAAGATAACCCACCTCTCTTCATCTCCTCTTGAGAGAAAGAACTATGCAGCTAGCATCCACAAAAAAAAAAAAAAAAAGGCAGGTGCGGCTTCGTGTTTTTGACTTTGGTCCTTGTTGCTTCTAAAATCTCACTTGGAGAATAGGGAGCAGCCCCTGGGACACGGGAGCTTGTGACTTGGAGAGAGTCCCCCTGTCTAACTTGCTCTTAGCATAGGGTCAAGGGACCTGGGCAGTCAGGCCTAGGGCTTCTTTCTGAAGATGCTGTGGCTAAAAGGCAAAGGTTGGGGTTTTAGAAAACATTAGCTGTGTGATAAAAGGAATTGATTCCCGGACTCAATTTACCTACCCAGCAGTAGCCTCATGCTGTGTGTTTGTCCCCCTTAGTGTTCTGTGTGACCTGGGTAGGCTGTCAGTGGGGGAGGGAGCTCCCCTTTGGAACAAAGGCCAAGGGACAGGAAGCCTCATTGGTTGCCTCATGAAATAGGATTGATCCCCTAGTGGAATGAAACTTAGCTTGATTAACCCACTGGCTCTCACATTTTATGAGCACTTTTAAAGAGAAAACAAAGACCATATCACAGAGCTGGACAAGGTGTTTAGAGCTGTGGACACCCTTGGCCTACTCAGATCCTGGGTCAGAAGTGATATTCATCTTGGGGAAGCCATGGTAGAGCCACTGAGGCAGAGCTGGAGACAGGGCCTACTTCAGCCCACAGGGCACTCTCCTCTATGTAATTCCCACACATCGGCCGATGGGGCACCTTAAACAACAAGGAAGGAAGGCGAGGGCTGGCAAAGGGCAGCTCCCCCCATTTTCCATGACAGACATCAGCTAGGTGGTCTTCCAGGTCTCACAGAGTCCTGCCAGCAAGTGAAACGAAGATCCTCCCCTTCTGCCAGTGCACGAGCCCTTCACATATCCTGCTATCTGCCTCCTCTCACTCCACGGGGTTTGCCTTGTCCTGAAACACATTCCAGACCAAACACTGTTCAGTTTGTTTCCAAAAGAAAAAAAATATGTATAGACTGTATGTAATCTACCACTCTTCTGCGGGGCCCGGTCCTATGTTGGAGCTGCAAGCACACTTGACCCTTGTCAAACGTGTTCCAGTCCTTTGATTTTGCAGAACTGAAAATGTCAAGGTAAAAAAGCTGAACTGGGAAAACAGATTTGTAAAAGAGGGATTCACTTCCTGAGAGCTCTAAGGACATTCCTGTGCAGATGAGTTAGCTTGAAAACTTCAACTCTTGAGTGGCAGGAATGTGTGAGGAAGAGGAGAAGGAGGAAGACAAAAGCCCACGCCCCCTCAACAGGTCCCTTCTCCGTGGTCCCAATGTACATGGTCTGCAGCCGGGCATGTGCGCAGGAGCCAGCCCTGTTGCAAAGTCTGCCCTGCATGCTGGCTACAGCCTAGCCTGCCTCCTGCTCCAGCAGCAGCCACACCTCCAGGATCTTCCAGAAGGAGTTCGCCCTTTCCAGATTTCCCTGCCACCTCCAGTGGGAGCAGCTAAGCTTGTGGCTTTGGGGGCTCCGCTTCTGCAAACCTAACGGCTGTGCATTTGGAAGCTGAACACCCAGCATGTGGCTGCCGAGTCTGGTTTTGTGGACAATGCAAACTGTGGAATGGCTTTTCGGTGTCTATCTTTCTACACCAAAGGGACAAACTGTGGCATTCGCCCTTTGTACTAAGGCCGCTTCTGCATTCACCTGTTTTTAACCTTTTTGTCTCTGGGGAACTTCTCATGTGATCATTATGTCATCTGATGATTTGCCATACTATGTTACTTACAGGTGATTTTATTTTCTTATGAACAGGAAAAAAGAAAATGAGAGAAGGGTTTGAGGCTTTAGCTGTAGAGATAGCACTAGGAATGCAAAAGCCCCAAACACTAGTTAAGTTGTTTCTTAAGGGAAAATCTTAGTTTGGACAGACTAAGATTCCTGGTCCCCGACAAAGCCTCTGTTTTGGAAGACAGGACCGTGGGGCAGAGCCGGCAGGCAGGCTGTGACAAGGAAGCACAGGACCAGTTCTGATGTTTGTCCTGCAGCACTGAAGCCTGCTACTCTCCTTCCAAGGTACCTGGCTGTTTTGGGGTGACGAGAGATACGGTCCAAATGTCAACAGAAAAGCTGCAACACCACAGCAGCATCTTTATCTTGAAAGACAGGGCGGTATGTTCCAGAGAACATTTACCTTAGTCCCACGCTCAGGTGAGAAGACCTCAAAAGTACATTCTGCCCAGAATCAACATTGGAACATTTTCCAAATTGGCTTTTGCAACTATACATAATCTTCTTGCCCTTCTTTCAACACCCACCCCCACTGTAAGCATGTTTCCAAAAGCTTACAATGTCAAATCCAGGAATGTCCCCATGTCTACTATTACCAGGCTTGCAATTGGTTCTATTTTTCCATAAAAAACATGCTTGTCCAAAATAAGGAAACTGTGCATTTATTCCATGCATGTAATAAACTCTGCAAGAAGTTTAACCCCCATAGGTTTGCGGCACTACAAAACTGTTCATGGGTCTATGTAGCAAATGATTCTCTGCCTTGACAATCGTGTATACATATCAAGGTTTCTATCATAATGATGACAATGATGAATTCTTGTTTTCCTCCAATAAAGACAATTAATCACCTTCAGATATGTATGGTCTTTTTCTTTCGTAATGAGCAAGATATGATGTCCTATCATGTCAGTCTTTCCTCCTCTCTGTGAAGTTTGGATTTGAAGGAAAATAGGACATCTTCAATCCCTTAGTTTGCTGGATTGTTCTGGCCTTAGAAGACAGACAGACAGATGGATTGATTCCATATCCTTCATCTGGCCTGTTTGAGAAAGATTTAACAAAAGAAACTGTGCCTACTCCCATTTTCTTACAGACTTCATTGCAAAACCTATGTTAATTCCCCACAAGAGCACCCCAATTACAGTCTCTTCTTAACTCTGTGTGTGTGTGTGTGTGTGTGTGTGTGTGTGTGTGTGTGCCATGCCAGGACTTCAGATGACAGAAGTAGTAGGGGCTGATTTCCAGGCTGTATCCTACTTGTCACCCCGTGCACCCTGGCTCAGAGGACAAGGTACTTGTTTTTGCATCTAGGTTATGTGAAGGCACCATTTGGGGACTGCTGGCTTGGATGGGCCCTGAGGACCTTGGAGCATTAGGCTGTTGGTTAACAGGAACTTTTACCACTTTTACAAGCCTTTCTCTAAAAGCTGTAGCTTGGAACTCAGAATCAAAGCCCAGGCTCTAGAGGGGTTCATCTGGCGTCTTTTGTTTGGGGATGTGAGAAGTGAAGAACACATTAGCTTTCAGGAGGCTGTCACCAAGGGGTTGGTACATAGAAAAGCACTTTACAGAGCTCCTGAGGTATCACACTGTTCAAAAATGGTTGCCCTCCCTTGTCTCACTTCACTGATGAGAAAACCAAGGCCCTGGCCTTTCATTTAGACCCATTGATGCCATGAAATTAGACCTAGGGGCCCTCAACACCCACTTCCTCCCTCATCTGTTTCCCCTCCTGGGTCCCACTGGTGCCTTTTGGTGAACCCTGTCATGAGTTTTCATGCCTTCATTCATGTACATATCCTACATTTTGAACATCAACTGTCTTCAAGTGTTCTCATTCACAGTGAGAAATCCTACACGAATCTAACCTGAATCCTCCCCTGCAGAGCTGCGAGAAAGAGGGAACATTTAAACCTGGAAGGGCAGAGTTCGGACAGGAAGGATTTAGTAGGAAAAATGTGAGCAAGGGTGTGGATGCTGGGAATAGTCTGCAGACAGATGAGTGCACATTTCTTTGGAGGAGAGCATAGGATGTGGCCAAACTGCAGAGAAAGGGAGGTGGGCCAGGGGAGGCTCATGTCCAACAATAGCTACTATGATCATTGTGCCTTACTGGCCATTTACTGTGTGAAGTGCATCCCATTCGGTATCACATTTCGCCATAGGCCTCCCAGGAAAGCGGCTCTGAGCATCCAAGTGAGTTCAGCAAGCTTCAGTTATGCAGGCTAATCCGTAAGGACGAATGGTTTCCAACTCAGCTCTCACTGACCCAACAACCATTCTGCTGTCCTGCCTCTCATGAATGTACAGTTACTGAGTTCCAAACTATGACATTTCCACTGTATTTAGGTAACTGGCAGTCCCTGAAAATCACTGAGGGAGTGACATGATCAAATTAGTTAACACTGTGGAGCGTCACCACTGCTAGGGTCCATTCTGTACCTCCAAGAAAGGTGTTTCCTGACAGCGCTCCACCTGGTTTACACGTAGTCTAATGGATGTGACCCTGTGGTGCAAACATAATTATCACTGTGTACCGAGCCCATGTGTTCCCTGCTCTTCAGTTATTCCGTTTCCTAGGAGGAATATCACAGAAGCTGGATTTGATCTAAAATGTGAGATGCAGACAGTGATAATGCTGTTGAGCTTTCTTTTTGTATTTTTCAGTTATTCTACTCCACCCTGATTAGTTACTCCGAAAGTTCTGTCTGTGCACATTGAGTTTCATCCCTGACACATCAGCTGCCCAGGCAACTTCTTTTCTCCTCTATTTTGCTCTCGAATATACTTATTTATTTTCAAGAAAGTATCTCAGGTCTCCTGAGAGCTCCCAGCTACCCTTGAGTGGCACCAAATTTAGCATCTTCCTAATGTGGTTGTACCAGGAAACAGTTCATGGGCCAGGAAAAGACAGTTCTTGGTCAATGGGCTAATTGCTCTCTCTCCCGCCCCCAGCTGTGTTTCCTGTTCCCTTTCCATGGTGTGTCTTCTGCTGCAGCATTATATTTGCTTTCTTCAGCACATGGAGGCTAAATCTTTCTGTCCCTTGCTGGGTCAGGCTGTTCATATTAGTACACAAGAAAAGCACGCTTCGGATCCTGAGCTGTCAGCCTAGCCTGACTCTGATCACACGGAAGAGTTCAGTGAGCAGCCCCTCTAATGAGGACCAGCTGTCCCCCTGCACAGACTTGGGAAGACAGTGACTTCTGCACTCACCTAGCAAAGGTGCTTTTCCTGTGGGCAGAAGCAAAAGCTTACCCTCAAATTGACAAAGGCTTAGGGCTAGGCAAGTGGAAAGATGGCCTGCTTCCTCAGGTGCGTCTCACACTTCTCCTAGATTCTGGCTCAAATTTGGATTCTGATTCAGCAGCTCAGATGGGGCCACAACAGCTGCACTTCTGACACTCTGAGGAAGGGGGTTGGTTCCTGGGCCACACTTTGAGTAGCAGCAAAGGGCTCCAGCAAGTCTTTTCCTGTGGTTCTCCTTCCTGATCGAATATTTGAATCACTGTGGGAGTAGTTAGAAAATACAAAGGCCCCAGCATCCAGTCAGGATCTCTAGTGATTGTCAATCACAGCCAAGGTGGAACCATGCAGCATGCATCAGTCATCCAGCCTCCTTGAGTTGAGAGATGGGTGTGACAGAAAATCACTAAGTTACCTTTAACATTCTTTCTTTTCTTTTTTTCCCCCAGGGTTGTGGATTGAGCATAGGACCTTAACACTAAGCAACATCCTTAGTCCTTTCAATTTTTCAGTTTGGAGACAGGGTCTTATTAAGTCACCCTCTGGAGTCTTGCTCTTTGCCTGGAAAAGTGTGTTGCCAAGTCAGGTGTACTGTTTGCTTCCTGAATAACATGCAAAAAAAGTCTCCGTTGAAACTGAATTTCAGGATTTTTCAGGTTTGGATCCTGGCCCGGAGCAGAGAAGAACATGAGGTAAAGTTGTTCTACTACTCATGAAATGTACATTTCCTGCTGCTTCTTTCCAAATCTGGTGTTAAATTAACAAGCTAAACTGTTAACAAGCGTGACTCAGGGTCAGAAAATGTTAGTGGCATGACACTGGTTCTGGCAATAAGAGGACTTTTCCATTTGTTGACAAAAGCCAGCAAGAGACATTAATCCCATTCGCCAAACTCTAAAAAGTTTTAACTGTGCACCCTGGTAATAAAATATTTTTGAGCATACTCATATGAATATTTACATATCTGGAAATTATAGGCATGTAATACTATACCTATTTATGTAAATACATATGAAATATATACAAAGGAAGAAAATTAGAAGGACAAGAGAAAAAATATTCTTCCACAGAAGAAAATTTTTTATCTTTGTTACATTAATTTAATTTAACTGATGACCTGGTGTATTTTGTATTTTTTATTATGATTTAAGAGTTTGTAATACAGCAAATTGAAAGTCTTATTTTATTTACCTAAATTCTTTAATTTTAAGTGTTGTAACCTTGAAAAAATCATGATATAAAAATATGTAGATCTACATGGAAGAAGTCTGTTGATGGGGATGCCTACAATTAAGGACATGACCACATGCACATTGCAAACTTACAAGATTGTAAATAGGAACATTATAGGCAGTTTCTTTCTTAGCTCCTTTATCCTTCTTGCCCCTGATCTTTATACCCCTCTAAAATCATGCTACGTGAGCATTATAACCATAATCTAGGCACAAATATTTTCCCCAACGACCTTACTTCTCTGAAAAATAAGAGAATAATGTCAAGGTTAATGTTTATATTTAACTCTCCACAAAGATTTAAATCTTTTGAAAACACAAAACTGAATGGGAAATATATACTAATGTCTTTCTTGATTAAGGTACTCCAGAAATGCTTAGACCACTGGAGAAGTCCCCAAACTCTTGGAAAATACTACATCTTTTCATGGAACTCAGTGTACTAAAGAGCAGAATTGACTAAGAAAAGATAGTTCAAAAAGTTCTTAAAATATATTAGTGTTTTATTAACCAAAGTACCATCTACATCTTTGTAGTAATTGAGGAGGAGTAGTTACTGTCTGAGACATGTCTCACCAATCTCCGGACAAGGCTTAGAATGTTTAGGAATCAGAAGACCTTTGCAACCAGTCTTCAGGCCTAGACCACAACTGAGACCCCTTGAAGACTCTCCTCCTGTGGCAGGCAAAGTACTTAGGAATCTATATCCATACCTCTTAGTGATTGTCTTGGAAACTCAAACCTGTCACATAATGGTGTCCTTACACTAACCTTCATGGTGAAGCAGATATTATGAAACTGTTAGTCCTTTTCTAGCTCCAGTCTACATGCTGATTGATGCTGAAACCATTCAGGCCAAAAAGTAAAAGAGGGAAAATGGAGACCCATACAAAATGCTTACCATGAAGCATAGCCGTGGGCAGTGTAACTGAGGCAGCAAGGAGTCTCCAGTTACTAATACAGTGCTTCTGAACTCACACATGCACATGAAACTCCTGGGCATCTTGGTAAAATGCAATTATGACTCATTTAGTTGGGTGGAAGAGGGAGGCTGAGATTGTCCAGAAGACATAGGTTCACCTGTTGAATAACAAGCCCCAGCGTCCACGGCTCATCTTGAGCCTGTGGTAGTTTGCTAACTGCAGCAACAGGTGCGCAGTTCGGTGGAGGCTGGCACTAGTTGTACCTACAAAGCACAGGTGTTACAGGTAGTAACTACCAGGAGGTTGGCTGCACAGATAACTAATTCCTTGGTGTTACAACACGCTAATGACAGGGCATCTTTGGGCTAAGCCTTTAATTTCCACACCCTCTGTGGGGCGGATACAGCAGTCTAAATGAGCAGGAAGCATCCAGGGAACCACAGCGCTCCCTG